ACAGTACTGCAGCACTACTGCTACAGTGCTGTACCACAAGTACTACAGTGTCACCACTGCAGCACTACGCTATTCAATTGTTACAGCAGTGCTGCGATACTACGGCAGTGGCGTATTCCTTCTACAGGATTGCAGTGCACTTGCTGCGGGCAACCGCAGAGTACTAATCATGCTGTACTGTAGTACTGGTTCTACAGTGCCCCTACAACAACTGGAACCTACCCCGCGACAGTACAGTACTCTTCCTACAGCATTGCCACTAACGCGCCGACTGCAACTACAGGACTACAACAGGGCTGCTACTTCATCTATACACTACTACTACTGGTTTAGCACGGTATCGGGGTACTAGTAGTATAGTGCTAGAGTACCACTACTGTTGTACTACAGCTATCGTGCTGTACTGCGACTAGTACAGTGTCATCATCTACAGCGCTACAGTAGAACAAATATTTCAAAAGTGCTGCGGTAATACGGCATTGGGGTATTCTTATTACAGTGCTGTAGTAGTTTCACGGCAGGCAATGGCAGAGCAGAATTCACACGAGTACGGTACTATAGCATTGCCTCTACAATGCCACTACTACAACTGCACAGCACTATTCCACACTACCACTAAAGCATTCGAGTTCGATGGCGCCACCACTGTGCCCACGTGCTGCGGTCGTGCACTACTTCTGCTACAACACTACAGTGCGACTAGTAAAGGAAGTACTCGGTTATGATCTTTACTGCAAGACCTGCCTGCAACTACTGCTACTACTTCTACCACCACCACCACCACTACTGCTACTACTACTACTACTACTACTACTACTACTACTACCACTACGACCGCCACTACTACTACTACTACTACTACTACTACGACTAGTACTACTACCACTACTACTACTACTTCTACTACTACTACTACTACTACTACTACTACTACTACTACTACTACTAGTACTACTACTACTACTACTACTACTACTACTACTACTACTACTACTACTACTACTACTACTACTACTAGTACTCCTACTACTACGACCATTATTACTACTCACGTATTACCGCGCTACTTAGAAACAGTGCTCGAGCAGTAGAGTGGCGCTAATTTTGCACCCTCCCACAACGCGGGGCCGTGGAAGAAGAGGGGGGAGGGGGGGGGCGCGGAGCCCCCTTGCGCCCCTGCCCCCCCCCCCCCCCCCCCCCCGCCCGCCCGCCCCGCCCGCAATCGCGCAAAGAGGGGCGGCGCAATCGAGCCGCAATCGGGCCCCTCAGGGCCGACGGTTGCCCCGGCGGTGCCACCTCAGGAGGGGTGCGTGTGTGTGTGTGTGTGCGTGTGTGTGTGTGTATGTGTGTGTGTGTGTGCGTGCGTGCGTGCGTGCGTGCGTGCGTGCGTGCGTGCGTGCGTGCGTGCGTGCGTGCGTGCGTGCGTGCGTGCTGCGTGCTGCGTGCTGCGTGCGTGCGTGCGGCGTGCGTGCGTGCGTGCGGCGTGCGTGGTGCGTCGTGCGTGCGTGCGTGCGTGCGTGCGTGCGCGTGCGTGCGTGCGTGCGTGCGAGCGTGCGTGCGTGCGTGCGTGCGTGCGTGCGTGCGTGCGGTGCGTGCGTGCTGCGTGCGTGCGTGCGTGCGTGCGTGCGTGCGTGCGTGCGTTGCGTGCGTGCGTGCGTGCGTGCGCGCGCGCGTGTGCGTGTGCGTGTGCGTGTGTTGTGCGGGTGTGCGTGTGGCGTGTGGCGTGTTGTGCGGGTGGGTGTGTGTGGGCGTGTGTGCGTGCGTGCGTGCGCGCGTGCGCGCGCGCGTGCGCGAGCGCGCGCGTGTGGGGCGGGGGGGGGGGGGAAATGCGCAGCCCCACCCACGCACGCCACACGCCACACACACACCACAACACACACACACACACACACACACACACACACACACCCCACACACACACACACACAAACACACACTAACACACACACACACACACACACAACTCACACACACACACACATCTACACACACACACACCACCCCGTCCCCCCCACCCCACCCCCCCCGCCCCCGCCCCCGAGCCCACACCCGCCCCAGCACCCCCCCCCCCAACCCCCACACACCCCACCCCACCCACCCACCCTTCCCCCACCCACCCACCCGCCCCCCGCCCCACCCACCCACCCCACCACCCGCAGGCGCAGCAAAACCCCCCACCTGGTGGCGAAACCTGATTGCCGCGAGGGTCGCGCAATCGAAAATCGCGACCAACGGGCGCCCCCCTCCCACCCCCAACCCACCCACTAACCACACCACCCCACCACCACAACCACCACCCACACCACCACCACAACCACCACCTACCACCACCACCACACCACCCCACACCCCCACCCGGCCCAGCCTCTCACAACGGCGCCCCGCCCTTCCGCCCGAAGCCCCAGGCGCGCCCTTGGCCGTGCGCCACCGACGCACGACAGAACAGGAAGGCCAAACGGAAACGATTCAGACAGAGCCCCACCCTCCAAAAGAAGAAAGGGAACGACGAACCCCAGACAACGAAACAGGAACAGCAAACCGAAAATGGTGAAATCGCAGGGGGGGATTCGCCCCCGAACCCGCCTCGCACTTCGTCGCATCGAAGGAACAAGTTTGAGCCCCCCAGCCCGAGGCCCGCGGGGGCCCTCCAAATGTCCTTCAGCTGGGCTTGGCAGAGATGCAGTTGAGCAAGCGGCGCTAGTAGTCTTCAGGACGCGACGCTTACATTCTCTTTTTCTCTGCCACGTTTTTACGGCTCGAGCTCTTCCCTCTCCCCTCTCCCTCGCCCCCCTTCTTTCTGCGGGGCAGCCTCTCAGCGAATTGCTGACAGTTTGTTGCCCCTTGTCGGACACTTGTCGCCGGCTGGGCGGCTTCTGCCCCCGCCGCGCGCTTCCCTGCAGTGAAGGAACAAGTTGGAGCCCCCCTGCCCCGGGCCCGCGCGGTCTTCAAAGCGTCTTTCAGCTGGGCCTAGCAGGTGAGTTGGCGGACTAGATTGCACCGCGTGGGCTGCGCGGCATTGATTGCTAGGGGCTGCTCTTCGCCGGCGGCGAGGCAGAGTGAAGGCGCCGGTGGCAGATCTAACTAAACGGGGGCACCGTCGCGGCGAATCGCGCCGCCACGCCGGAAATTTGAAGAAGAATGGGGGGGCGGCCGACGGAAAGGGGAAGGAGGGGCGAGGGCCGCGAGATTGCTACAAACACATGGTGTGGGGCCCACTGCTGGCTAACATTGCGCATTGTGCAATCTATGCGGTGCACTTGGTTAAAACAAACGAGTTGACACATCCAATGCTCTTGCAAGCGCCCCCGCGCCCACCCGCAACTTGGCTTGCAAAACCCACGCGGTGGCGATTGCGATGCGCGCTTGGCGTTGGCTGGTGCATCTCTGCGACCGCGCCAACCCAAGCACGCGCGCGCAGTGGCCAGCTAGCTTGGCGCGACCGACGCGGCCGCGGTGGCGCTGACCGCTGGGCGCATCCCAGCGGACACTTCACTGCAAGTCGGCGACCTGGGCGGGCGCGATGTCATGGCAACGTCGACAACGGTAAACACGATGCTGATAGTAACGATGTTGGTGACGATGTCGACAACGACGAAAGCGCGGCCAGTGCGGGCGCCGATGCTGATCACGCCGACGACGATGACGGCGTCCTCGCGTCGGTGATGAGGGTTTTGGACAGAGTTCGACATGCGTGCGTGGCCGACGCGCGAGAGTGGCCCGCATGGTATGACTTGATTCGGACCGTGCCCCTCCAACGCGCGCGCAACGGCGTGCGAATGATGTCGGCACGCGGCGCGAGAAATCCGTTTGGCTGAATTTCACTGGTGTTGCGAAACCATGTGTTGTTGTATGTTGATTTGGACATTCGGTTTTGAAATTTCTACGAAACCGAATGTTGTTGGCGGGTTTCGGCATGCGCACACGACGACGCGCGCGCGCACGTTGTTTCATGTTTGCAAAGGGTTTTCGCGACGGCACGCGCGCACGGGCTTTCGAACGATGTCAACACGCGCTCGCAGCCTGTTTGGTAGCATTTTCCAAACAGGTTTGAAATCCCATGTTTTTTTTTTTTTTTTTATAAAAAAAAAAAAAAAAAAAAAAAAAAAAAAAAAAAAAAAAAAAAAAAAAAAAAAAAAAAAAAACGCAAACGCGCGCACAAGCTTGTTTTGTAAACCCGTGTTGCGAAACCGTGTGTGTGTGTGTTTTTATATGTGGTTTTGATATTAGATTCTGGAATCTTTGCACAACCGAAGGTTTTGAAGAATTTCGGCATGCGGGTGCGAGGACGCGCGCGTGCGCAGTTCAGCATATTTTGTTGTCAGGGGCTTTTGAAAACTTGTGATGTCTGATCAACGAGTGCGCGCGCATAGTAGTTTTCTATTGCAAAGGGGGGGGGATCCAGGCCCAGACGACGGGCGGCGACGAGCCACCCGGGCCCAGACGACAAGCGGCGACGAGGCGGCAACGGGGCAGCGCCGGCGACCACAGAGCCGCCAGACCGGCACCCATGCCAAGACGACTGGCGGCGACGAGGCGGCGACGTGGCGGCGGCGGCGGCCATAGAGCCGCCAGACCGACACCCAGGCCCAGACGACGGGCGGCAACGAGGCGGCGACGGGGCGACGACGGCGGCCACGGAGCAGCCACCCAGGCACTCAGGCCCAGTTCCCCTAGACCAGAAAAAAGAACCCCTAGGTACAAGCATTGGGGAATGTTCGTGCACTTTTTAAATGTGTTCGAAGCCCCGAATCACCAGGGGTAGGGGTGGTCAGGGGTGGCTCCTGATCTGTGAGGCCCAAAGTGCACTGGCCCCGGACAGGAGTTATCCTGGATAATTCGGGCGCCCAACCATTCCCGAATCATCGGGGCTGTGGGTGGTCAGGGGTAACCCCTGGTTCGTGCGTGTTGGGCCAAAAACGGAGTTGGCCTGGACCATAGTTATCCCGCATAAATTGGGCGTCCGAGAAGAGGAGGTCCTCCCGCGGAGGGGGCACCGGGAGGTCGCAGGGCACTTGCACTCTTTCCTGGCCGACGCCCTGGCGTGGAGGGCCGCGAACCTGCAGAGCGGCAGAGCACGCGACGGCGCTGCCGCACGCGGCAAGGATCGTCGTCATCGTCGTCGTCGTTGTCGTCGTCGGTTGCCGGTGGTGGTCGAGGTAGTTGAGGCTTTCGCATGTTGTTGGTCATCGGTGGTCCAGGTCGTCGGTGGTCGAGGTGGTCGTGGGGGGTTGAGGTGGTCGGTGGTCTAGGTGATCGTCGATGGTCGACGTGGTCGTGGGTGGTCGTGGGTGGTCGTGAGTGGTCGAGGTGGTTGTGGGTGGTCCAGGTGGTCGTCGGTGTTGGAGTTCGTCGATGGTCGAGGTGGTCTTGGGTAGCCGAGGTGGTCGAGATGATCGTCGCTGTCGGAAGTCGACGTGGTCGAGGTGATCGTCGTCATCGTCGTCGGTGGTTGAGGTTTTGTTGCATGCTTCTGCCCCTGCCTGGGTTTCCGGGGCCTCCAAGGGCCTTGGCAAGGCCGACGAAAGGGCCCAGGTGGGCCCAGGTGGCAGCCCTCGCACGGGCGTTCTCCTGCGTCCTTCCTTCCCTCCCATTCGTCTAAACTTCGCCGGCATCGGCAACCGGGTAATCCGCAACCAGGCCTTCCTCCCTTTTCCCCCCCTTCCGTCTTGATTTTTCCTCCCTCTCGCAGTCATGATGCATGCTTGTACTCTCCAGGACGCCACGGCCTCACCCACCTTGTCTCAGCCAGTGGTTCGTTCTTTCGTTCGACCCCCCTCCGTGGCCGAGGATGCGCGAAAGCCCGTCCGCGGCCCCAAGCCCGGCTGGTGGATGCGGGGCGTCCTGGCGCGGGAGGCCAATCGCCGAGGGTTTCCCACTCTTCTCTCCTCCTCCTCCTCCTACTCCTCCTCCTCCTCCTCCTCCTCCTCCTTCCGTGGCCGTTTGTGCTCAAGCTGCCAATGTCTTTCTTCGGGCAGGGAGCGGATACGTACCTCTAGTCCGAGGCTGGATCAGTAGAGTTCTGTGAGTTCCTTGAGCCTGCTTTTTCTATTCCAGGGCGATACCGGCCGTCACCTCGGGGGAGGGGGGAGGGTGATGACGGCACGTTTCAAGCCGGCGGCGTCTGGGAATGCGTAGGAATGACCGAGGACGGGTAGCAGCAGCATGCATGTGGCGATCTGCACGACAGCGCTTGTGTACACCACACTGCTTGCGTGCACCATAGCGCCTGTGTACACCACACCGCCTACAGCAGCCACGTGCAACACAGCGCCAGTGTACACCACAGTGCCCGCGTGCAGCACAGCGCTTGTGTACACCACAACGCCTGCATACACCACAGCAGGCTTGTGCAACACAGCACCAGTGTACACCACAGCGCCTGGGGGAAATATGTAAGAAGGCCATCCTGGCTGATGAGATAGACGCTCACGTGGATAAACTGCAGGTTGGTGATCACCAAGTTAGTGACGACGTCGAGACGACATCATCGGACTGGGATCAGTCAACACACCTTCACGTCCTGATCTAAGCACTTCAATACCCATCAAACAAGCAGCACGTAACATACGGACACGGTCGCTACGCTCTTCAGCTTGAGAATGTAATCCAGCCAGACTTCGAAGTCACACGAGGGACGGATGTCCAGAACCCCGAGTCCAGCACACAGCTTTGTTGTATGGCTGCGCGTTCTGAAGACCAGCGGGGGCACTCCCCCCAGTAGTGTCGGAAAGATGGTTGCAGATGACCACAATGCTTGCACGAAGCCCCCGTGCATCTCCGCGTCTCTGAAGTGACAGCTCCACTGCGGAAGATGCTGAGGAGGCGGCGTTAGGATTCGGATAGGGTCTCTATCCACTTAGTGAAGCTCCTGTGTGAACATAAATCTACATCCACATCGTCGATCCCCTCAGCGTCGTAGCGGTTGTGCTGGACCTGGAGCAGGCAACGAACACGGGCGATGACTCTGATCGCGTGTTGGGCCGATTTCGAGGCTGACCAAAAGCGCCACCTGTCAACAACCAGATATTCCACTGCTTTGTGCACACGATGATCATCCGAGGGACCAACTTCGAGAAGCAGGCCTTAGCAATCTCAGTATCAGATGAACTGCAGTCCCAACGCCTTCGCATGATGTGTCATCGACGTCTCGAGAAAATTAGACCAGGCCAGCTTCGTGTCCGTCGCGTTCTTAATGCCAAAAATCGCAGCCGAATACACTGGATGAAGCAGCACGTTCTGAGCCCAGAAACGTCCGTAGCACCACCAAGTACACGAGGTGCGCCAGATCGCCTTTGTCAGCGAGCGCGCCAGTGGAGCAGGAGGTTGGACTACAATAGGGCTCGCCCATAACCACAACGGCCGTAGATACGCCAGCGCCAACTTCAATCTGACCTGTTGAGACCCAGGAATAGAAGCCAACACTGCAACGCCATTTATCAACTTCTGCCAACCACCGCGCGGCACGATCGGGTGATTAGGATTCGTGGGAGCAGCCTCGATGCCAAGGTGCTCGATCAAAGTGTCCTCCAGGTCGTCCTCGGACCACAGCTGGCGCTTGGAGATGTTCTCGCGGTGCCCGATGGACGTGTCGAAAGCGTGCGTCATGTTGAGGTCGTCCGTGAGCGAGTCCGAGCTCTGCGCAACCAGGGACCTGTCGTCCATGAAGCAGTGCCCTTTGCAAATAGGTTGCCACGGAACCAACGTGGCGATCATGGCGGCTGGTGCCATTGAGTCTCGTTGGGGAAGACCGCAGACAGGATGAATGGGCTCCGCAAGAGCCCCTTGGATTGAACAAAGGCGAGGCCCAGACCAGGCCGCCACACAAGTAAACATCACCACATCTGGCATCTCGGACTTGTCGAGGCTCTCGAGGGCAATGGCATGAGAGATGTTGTCATACGCTTTTGTAAGATCCAACTCGGCTCCAGTGGTGGCCTCTGAACAATCCCGAAGCCATACAGACACGGTATGGGGAACGGAATGACCACGGCGGTTAGCCCGTTGATTATCAGGAGGATCAGGAGCAGCATTCGCTAGAGCCCGAAGCCACGTACGTAGAAGAATTGAGCCCACGCTGATGGGCCCCGCGTCGCTCTCGCCCTTGGGAAGGCCAGCCACTCGCAAGCCAAAAACTTGTTGAAGTACTTCTGGAGCTAGCTGACCACGACGATGGACTGCCTCCCGCGACGTCACCCCCCACAGGTCGTAGAGCTCGCACGTGATGGTCGGGGAGAGGTGTTCCAGTGCGCGTTGTCCTCGAAATGTCCAACCGTCTAGGCCTGGACATCCCTTAGCTTGCTTAATGGCATCCGTGAGCTGCTCGAACGTGGGCCCCCGGTCCTGCGGCTTGGAACTCTTCGGGAAGGTAACGGGTGAGGCATGTTGACGCCAGGCCTCAAGGTAGTCGTTGTCGTCAAAGTCGGGAGGGTCCCAGTAGGCTTTCCACTGCGCACGCATCTCGTCGACGGTCATAGACTGTGCTGGAGAGGGCCCCATTGAACATGGGTGTGGTATACTTCCATATATCCGAAGACCAGGCTGAGAACTTCTGACGCCATTGCTTGGAAGCATTCTCTTGAAGTCGGCGTTGCTCCACGGTGACCCCCGACGAAAGACAATCGAGGGCATCAGCGTAACAAAGGAGACCTTGGGCGGGTAATTGAAGTAAGTCGGGCAAGTCCAGGGCGGCCTTGACTAACTGGCTGTAGCGCTTTGTGTGAAGGATGGTGGTGCCCGCCGTGCCTTGTCGGAGAACCTCGGCAAACCGACGATGGAGACGAAGGAGGCGGCGTTGGGCAATATATTGATCCAGACGAAACGCTGGAGAGTGAGAGGTAGCACGTGTTGATGGAGGAGAACCTTTCGGGCGCTCGGCAGCGCGGTCGACCGAGATACAACCTCGTTCAATTGCGATCTGCATAGCGTATTCAGCTCGAGCATGCCAGTGTCGCCATCGAGCCACCAGATCTGGATCATCCTCGAAATCAAGCTGACCTCCAGGATCGTAGGGGCCGATCTCCATGTCCACCAGCTCCTGCATGAGAGCACGTTCAGTGTCGTTGGAACCTCGAACAGGGGGAAAGGCTGCAGCATGTCGCAAGCGTGTGGGGGGGAGGTCCACGAAGTAGATCTTCAGCTCGTACGTGACCAAACCGTGGTGAGGCACCCCGGCTAGGAATCTGGTGGCAAGTTGCATTGGAGGGGCGCCGTCGCCACAGTGGAGCGCACGAGTAGGGCACGTAGTGGCAACCGTCGTAGCAGGGTTGACACCACAGCGCCTGCGTGCAACACAGCGCCTGTGTACACTACGGCGCCTGCGTGCACCACAACAACCGTGTGCAACATAACACCATTGTTGCATACAGAATTTAGAAATGTCAAATTGGAGCGCCTTGGGTTCCACAGAAATGAGTGATTTGTACATCGGATTTGGGAAGAAAGCCGCATGGAAAAAGGAGCGCCGATGGAATCTACTAGTCCTCCCGAGTCCTCCCGCAGCATCATTACTCCTCCCATTTGCGTCCAGAAGGCTCCCGCAGAATTGGCCGTCCGAGAACCCAGTGAACAGATTCAACAGACCATTCTGCGGTGCACAGTGAGATGGACACGTGCGGTGTAGCGCTGGCCCGCACGACGGGGGGAGGGGGGAGGGAGGAGGAGGAGGAGAAGGAGGAGGTGGTGGAGGTGGTGGAGGAGGAGGAGGGATTAACATCGCATTCTATTATCAGCACTTCCCAGCCGTAGTGTTGTCCGCAGCAGACCCTCACCTACATGTTCCTTCGACCTGTCCTGTGCACGCAGGCATTCTGGTGTACACCAGCGTTGCACTGCACGCGGATGTTGTGGTGTACACAAGCGTCGTGGTGTGCACAGGCGCCGCGGTACACACAAGTACTGTGGTGTGCACAGGCGCTGTGTTGCAGATGGTTGCTGCGGTGTGCACAGGCGTTTTGGTGCACGCAAACACGGCGGTGTACACAGGCGCTCGCACACGGCTGCTGCGGTGCACACAGGCGATATGGTGTACACGCGCGTTGTGGTGCACGCGAGCACTGTGGTGTACACAGGTGCTGTGATGCAGATCATCTACATGCTGCTCCTATTTGGCTTCGGTCATCCCGGGGCATTCCAGGACGCCGCCAGCGCGGAACGTGACGTCATCTTTGGGGGGGTAGGGAGGCCGATGACGGCTGCTATCTTAGAAAATAAAAGAAAAGGCTCTAGACACCTCCTCCCTGTCGCACCCCGAGGCCAGTCGAAAAGGCGGGCCGGGCGTTTCGCCTGAGATTCCCATTTTTTTATATAAAAAACGTCACAAATGGAGGGCAGGTCGTTTTCAAAATGTGGCTCTCTCCGTAGCGCCGCGCAAACTCAGATTAAGAATTTGCAAGAGTTTCGCGGATAGAGGGTAGGTCGTTTTCAAAATGTGGTTCTCGCACTAACGCCTCGCACGTGCTTCGAAGGAAATGTGAAACAACTTCACTGGTTGGGCGGGAAGTTTTCAAAATATGGGTCTGGTCTTGGCGCCGCGCACATTCGTTTTAAGAGCTTGGAAGAGCTTCGCGGATTGAGGGCGGGTGGATTTCAAAAATGTTGTTGTCGCCTTGGCGCCGCGCTCGCTCTCTGTAAAAATGTTGCCAGGGTTTCGCGGATTGAACGCTCTTCCTTGTCAAAATGAAGTTTCCGCCTTAGCGCCGCACGCATCCGCTCATGGTTCGCGTGCCAGCAATTGTGTTTGGGAACGATTCCGGATTGTCACGGCGCAACAGTTACGTTGATTCGTAGTCTTGAAGTCCAGGGAATGGCTGTCTGGCACGACGCGGGCTCGCCAAGTTCTGTCAGGTTAACTCGTT